ACGATTTTCATCAACAATCTGACATTTATATATATATATATCAAAAAGGGAGGAAAAATGAGCAGAATAACAACCATGTCATTTAGATCAGAGTTCAAAGAAGCAAGTAAGCATCATACCAGAAGTAGCTTGGCCATTGTCAACTTCTCATCTCCATTGAACTTCTTGGAAGCACGTTTCACTCGACCTAAGACGATGAAAAAATAGAAGTTGATTTGTTTTGGGCAATGCCATGTTACCAGAGAAGTAAATATAGATTGATAAGTATTTAAAAAAAAAAAAACTTGTAGCTTTAGATCATTGAAGAGAAAATGAACTTGGTGGAAGCAATTTTTTAGAAAAAAAGCTTCTTAGTGGCTAGTCTTCGGTTCCAGTCGAAGAGCTGAAAGAAGATACCGACGCAACCACCAGGTCTCTAAGGCCGCTTCTCTGAAATAGCTAATGTTGAGCATGTTTTCCGTGGGGTATTGTTCATTTCTCTCCCGCCAAAGAAGAAAAATATAGAGCGCGAATTAAATGTTCTTCACAAGTTCTGCTCTTAAACTAAAGACTAAAAATGTTAATAAAAAAGTCTCCTTTGAAGATCTACCAAGGTGAAGAATATATCCTTGAGATCCCTAAAATGACCCTTGAAGGCACTTGAAGCATCATAGAGAAAGATCTGTCAACTCCAGAAAGACTGACTATACACGAATCTTCATTTCCATACATAACCCCTCCCCAATGCCCTCAATCTGAGCATCATAGAGCAAGATCTGTCAACTCGTGCACATGCACGTGCGCGTGCTAATCGGGGGCCTGCATCTGGGTGTAGAGACCCACTAGACTGCTCTGAAGCTTTTGCAGGCAGAACTTGATGCTTGCATCACCGCCGAAGACTTAGCATAGGTAGGTGCCGACATCTAGTGAGTCAATGCCAGCGAGTGAAGTCAGGTGCTACAGGATTGAGTCTAGAGGAGCAGGGTAAATCTCGACTAAGGTGAATCAAATCAAAAAATGGGAGGGGGTTGTCGCTGTTAACTCCTGCTACTGCCGCTGGTCCTGATCGTATATTGGCCTGGGTTCACTGCTTGCCATTGCTGTGCTTCGTCTTGAACAGGGGAGTGTTCCAGATCTTGACAGTGACGAAACAAAGAACGAAAGAAGAGGAAAAGGGAGAGGAAGACAAAAGAGAGAGAGAGAGAGAGAGAGAGGGAAAGAGAGGATGAGAGGCTAGAGGGGAACGACTCCATATCACTTGTAATGCAACATAAGCTGGTATTTTGGTTATCTGGAGTTTTTCTCCGGTCAACGGTGTCAATAGTTGCCGATGATAGCTGTTGGTCGCCGTCGGTTCGGTTCAGTGTGGCGAGAGAGTAAGTGAGAGGAACTTGGGAGAGAGGAGCAGAAGGATCGAGGAGATCCACCTCGCATGTTTTAAGTACACACACGTTTCAAAGACGCATGATGTGTTCTCATGTGCCCTAACTGAAGCTACCTAGACTAAAGCCGGACTCGCCTTCAGCATAAAAATAATCATGTCCCATCATCTTGCTCATTTCATTCCTTGAAGAAACTCTACCTATAAAACTATTGTCATAGATGTTTACTTTTGGAAAGCACTTTTACAAAAGTATTTTTAAGAAAACACCTTTATAAAAGTACTTTTACGAAAGCACTTTTATGAAAGTACTTTTACATGAAAGCACTTTTATGGATTTACTTTTACAAAAACATTTTTACGAAAGCACTTTTCTGAAAGTACTTTTATAAAATGAGTAAATTCATTTTGTGAATATTGACACTTTTTTTTTAAGAATGAAAATGAGTAACATAGGACACTTGTTAGTCTAAAAAGAATTCATTTTTAGGAAAAAATCATTTGGTTCATAGCAATATTTTCTCATTCTGCCTATTTTTATCCATTCTTTTCCATTTTAGAATTTCATCTTGGGTAAGAATGAGAAAGATTGAGAATTGAACCAAATGTGGCCTTAGTTTTTATAGAATGCCTTAGATTATAGAAGTTGATTAACACATTACTAAGATAGTAAGGTGCCAAAGTTCTCAAGTCCCTAGCCAGTGGTAATGGAGATTTAGGTTGAAATCTTGCCTTGATCACGTTCACATAAACATTTTTAGGCTTTGTTCTGATAAGGTTATCTACTTTTGAGTTTGGGCAGTAGTAAAATAAATAAGCCAAAAAATTGATTTGAGAGTTTGACAAGAGTTTCTTTTAAAAACATATAATAATAATCTAAAGCCACAACACTTTCAATCTCGAAATTGGGCTCTATTGTTTTGGGTTTTGAAAGCTCAGACAAAAATTATCCAAATGCAAGTTTAATTAATCAGTTTATTAAAACTTTAATTATCTTTATTATATAATACTCTTATTTGGAAATCATATGCATTGTAGGTTAATCCTTAGGCTGAGTTTGAGAAGAGTATAAATATAAATATATAGAATCTAAATACATACAAAAATAATACAACATACAAGGCTTTTCACTCTACATATTTGTATTTTTACTTCTTCCAAAGTAGTACAGAGATAATGGGTGGAATGGGCCTTAGTTTCTTTGTTTTTCTTTAAGTTATATTTAGGACTTGTGTTAGTAGGTAATGGGCCCATTTCTCTTTTTTTATTGCTTTTTATTGTTCTCTTTAATGATGGATGCCCTACTAGGGGCACTAATGTAATTGTCATTTTTACCACAAAAGAATAAAAAAGATCATTAGGGGCTGAAGAGAGGTTTTGGAACTACTCTCTCCTCTCCCTTCCATCACTTCTCTCTCTTCAATTTCCTTTTCTCTTTATTTTTTTTAATTCAGATTATTGTAGGTGTGATTTACAACTTGGTATCAAAACATGTTCTCACCTTCTTTTCATTCTTCTCTCTTTGCCCTTACATAGTGTGTATAGAAAATTGATTGGATAATTAGGAAGCAGCTTATATAGCCTAGTTGGGAGGGTTTTTGGAGAGGTTTTGTGAAATTTTCCATCCCTAGTTGAAGCCTAAGGTAGGTTTTTGGAGTTTTTTCCCATAAGCCCTCAACAACTAGAGAAAACTAGTTACAGGTCTTAGAAACACTTTGAAGCTAGTGTTTGGGAATCAAAGGGTAGCCTTTCAATTGGGCTGGTTGTATTGATAATAGGAGATCTATATCAGGTTATCGTGTCTTGGTTAGGGAACATTGTCTCTTGCAGGATTAAGAAACAATTAGCAATAGCCAGATCTTCAACTAAGGCAGAGCACAAGGCTACATGGAGTTTACAGTTATTATGACTCAGGTCACTTCCAAAGGAGATAGGTATTACACATGATAAGCCCTCAATGCTTTATTATGATAATTAAGCTGCAATCAACATAGCACACAACCTAGTTCAACATAATAAGACAACATATTGAAGTTGATCAACATTTTATAAAAGAAATGGTAACTTCTAGAGAAATTTGTCTTCCTTTTATTGCCTCAGAGCAACCGTTTTGACCAAGCGTGTCCCCCAGGCAAAGTTACAATATTGTGTAAGCAAACTGGGCATGATTGATATCTATGTCCAAGTTGAGGAGAAGTGTAGAGATAATGGACCAAATGGGCCTTAGTTTCATTGTTTTTCTGTAAGTTATATGTGTTAGTAGGTAGTAGGCCTTAGTTATGGGCCTATTTTCTCTTTTTTTATTATTTTTATTATTGCCTTTAATGATGAACGCCCTACCATTGGCACTCATATAATTGTCCTTATTGTTCGCAACAAAAGAATAAAAGAGCTTATTAGGGGCTGAAGAGAGGTTTTGGAACTACTCTCTCTTCTTTTTCCTTCCATCTTTTTCTCCATCACTTATCTCTCTTCAATCTCCTTTTCACCTATTTCTTTTCCTTTAATTCTAATTATTGCAAATGTGATTTACAACTCAAAGCCTTATGTTATCTACTTATCTTTGGTTGATAGAAAATAAGGGAGAAGTCCAAACTAATTTTGTCTTGTGAAACTCTTGAGAACGTCCCTCAACTTTATGTTTCCCTCTTATTTTCTTAAGGCTCAATTTGGAAGGAGTACAAATACATACAAAATACAAGGTTTTGCACTCTATGTATTTGTATTTGTACTCCTTCCAAACTGAGCCTAAGGCTCAATTTGAAAAGAATACAAATAAAAATACGTAGAATGCAAAACCATGTATTTTGTACTATTTTGTATATATTTATATTTATACTCTTAGAGCCTAGGATCAAATTGGAAGGAGTATACATACAAACATGTGGAGTGCAAATACATACAAAACACATGATTTTGCACTCTATTGTATTTACTCTTTCTAAACTGAGCCTAAAGTATTATTTCTAACTTCGGTTTTTTCAAAATTTTGGATGGTTATGCTCTGAAAAGTGAAAACAACACATGAAATCACATGCACGTGAACATGTTGATTTAATGATTTTCTTATACTGCTATAGGAGTACAGGACCCACTAATCAGACAAGTATGTAACTTGCGAAAAAGTTATCAAGGCCCAAGCCCACACTATCCAAGACTTAAGACAGCCCATCATTGTGCTTTCAGATTGTTTATATTCCTCTATTTCATTAGTCTGGAACGAACTTGATTAGTAGCAAAAATAAAAGGAATTAGCATGCCCTTATTTCAGTATGTTTACCTTTTTCTCTGTACATAACCAAACAACGGAATTAGACAAGGGGAAAGATTCAAAAGAGTACCTTGGTACGTATTGAGTATGGGACATAGGACGAAAGTCAGGAAACCCAGGCTGGGGCCCTGATAACTTGCAACTTGTCACATGTACATGGGATCAATACAAACCCATTAAGATGGGTCCTACAAATACAGTTGTCAATACCACAAGGTCCCGTTCATTTGCCAGTACCTCGTTGGGTAATTGACCAACTCCGTATTCTATTTTACGGAAAATGAATTATGAATTATCCACCCAAGGAATACGTTAATCCCCCTCCAGGCCCCAGCCTCTCTCTTTAGGAAAAACAAACGAGGCCAAAGAGAAAGGGAAAGAGCTCAAAGTAATTCTTTAATTTCCCTCTCAAGGTTTAATTAACTCAGAATCAGAAAACATGCACATAGCCTCCCTCATCCATCAAACTCAAATAGTGGATGGCAAAGCCCAATTACCAAAAAAGAAAGAGAACAGGCCCATTATACACCCAAAAGATGGAAGAATGAACAAAATACAACAAAGCAGAGGAGAGCACAGCCTATTAGCCGCCTTCAGTTCAGTCAGGGATGCACACCGCAATCCTTCCTCATCTCCCCATGTTTCCTTCCCCTCTTCACTCCTATTGAGCCCATTTTCTCCATGGCTGCCGAAAATGCCTGAAAGAACTTCTGCTTATCCTTCCCAAGCTCCAGCACAATGGGCCTTGTTCTTGGGTCCAAGAACAGCGCTTGGTCTGTCGCCAGCAGGCCCATTTTGGCCTGCAAATTTCCATAATACGCGTGATCGAATGAAAACGGGGTCGTCACGTCGAATGGTGCCACCACATCGACGTTGCCACCAAAATACGGGCACGACATTCGCAGGGCCTTTAGGAATCTCGGGTCGATTGACGGGTCCGGTTGTTTGGTGCCCCGATAATTATACAGTCGAGTCACAAAGTGCTCACAGTGGGCGAACCCGATGGTGTGCGCACCCGACAGCGCCACTAGGTCTTCTAGGCTTAGCCCCTTGGAGGTGAAGAGCTTGAGAAGCTGGTCCACCGTGGAATTCGCACGTGGGAGGTTGGAGCTCACACGTGATGCCATTGAAATCCTGCCATCCCACCTACCCTTCTTCACTTGATAGTAAGGGCCCCCGGCCTGCACTCAACATTGTACAATCAAATCATACAAGGGCATTCTCGGAATTTAATAAACACTTGTTAGAATACAAGCAAATCATGTAAGGGCATTCCGCGGCCCGATTGGACACCCGATGTGTTTATGTAATTAGATGGAATTTGGATTTTATAAACTTCATCTAATTAATAATCATATGGATTTGGATTTGAAGATTTGACTTTATATAAATATTATATTATAATATCTATTGATTTTAATATATATAAAATTTATATAGTTATATTTAAAATTATAAAAATACATTTTTGCATATTATATTATGTAATTATCCTCTGCCATGGAAACATCTAGAAAAAATGGTGGAAAGGACAAAAATTTACCAGCTAGTCATCAAAATGTCAAAAATTACAATAACCCCTTGACCATGTCAGGTAATGTGTGTCCCACCTTCAGGGGTTGTTTATTTATTATAAATAAATAAAATTTCGAAAATCTCAGCTCACCCCCTGAGCGCAAGTTAGAAGAAGAAACTAGTTAATGGATTGTTTACCAAGTGAACGAAATCTCTGGCTGCAATTGCAAGAATGTCAGCACAAGACACAACGCCTGGACACTTTTCTTCCACCAGGGCCTTCGCCTTCCTTATGCTACCGAACGCCTCCACCGGTAGGTTCTTGTTATCCTGCGCATCCTTCTCTGCCATGCTTCCCGGCCTCGATGCTATCAGGATTGACGCATCGCAACCCTGCCAAAACAAAAACCAACTATTTCATTCAAAACGCAGAAACAACAAAGGTAAAGACCAATGGTCCTCGCTAAGATGCACCAGGGTCACCAATTTGCAGTCCTATCGGAGGCAGACTGACTGACAGACGTGAACACGAGGAACGTACTACTAAACCGCACAAGGTGTCTGTCTATCCGTCATTCAGCCCTTGAGAGGTAAAGCGCTCCCTGGTGCATACTAGCTGCAGCCAATATATTTTTTATAAGATGCGCTACAATGCTTTACTTCGACAAAGCAGTCATGGAAGAAGAGACGAATCGTGGAGGGTCCGGAAATGGGTGATTCACGATATTGCTGAGAAGTGACGGAGGCGACGAGCTGCTCGAGTTGAGGGCAGGTCTTGGCGTGGTAATCGTAGGAGAGCTGCCGGTGGTGGCGGGTGACGTTGGTGGCTCTGGGTTTGTTTATTTTTACAGATTCTGAGGTGGGTAGGAGGAGAAAGATGAAGAAACAAACACAAAGAGACAACAACGAAGAAGAAGAAATAGGAGACATGACTGTAAACTGCAGAAGATTGGGAAAAGCAGAGAAGAAAGGAGAGACAGTGAACGATATATATAGGTAATAGAGCCTCTGGGTTGAAGCTCCTTTGATGGTTAACAGGTGGCATACCACCCTTATTATACGAGAGAATCAAAGACCCGTGAAGCCCAAGTAGTAATAACTAATAAAGCTGCACAGGAGAGAGAGAGAGAGAGAGATGTGCAGTTCGCAGAGAAGAGATTAAAGAGGAAGCATGATAATGTTAAAATCCAGTTATCCAGACTTCCAGAGAAATGGAGGGTATGAGGAAACAAAAACAAATCAAAATACCCTTTGAATTCAGAATTATTACATAAAATTCCGGCCAGGTTTAGGGATGTTGTGGTTAAAATGCGAAAACAGTTAAGGCGTTTTCGTCAATCGAATTGTTAATCTATCTGGTCAACTTGTTCATTTACGCCACCGAGTCTCGGACTCACGGGTTTTGTTTCTATTCCTATTTTCTTATTTCAACCGTAATTAAAAATGGCAAACAGTCCCTATTCTAGTTCAAGAGACAGTTCAGTTTCTCAGTCATCAGAGAGAGAATCTAGTGGATTTAAAAAATCAAAACTAGATACCCCGAAGTGGGCAATGCTAGATCATCCGTACTTCCCAAACTATCCAATCAGTTCCCCGCGTTTGACAGTTTGGATCTATCTCACAAGGTCCAATTTGTTTGAGGTTCGGATCCAGGTCTCGGAGCATCAAGCATTGCAATTTTGCAATTTTGCTAGTGTCATAGAATCCGGATATGGGTATTAGAAACCCGAACTTTTTACAACCCACACTATCAGTGGCATTTTTGGAAGTTTAACAAAAGAAGCAAGGGTGAATAGGACAATTGTCAGTCCAATCCGGTTACCAGAAATAAACGGCTGAGCCAAGCTGACAGTGGATAGATTGTGCCCCACTTGCCATCCACACACAGACACAGTGAATCAGTGAAAGTCCTTAAATGCACACCACGTGCAAGGAGGGGGTGTGACAAGATCAGAAGAACGCTTTATCAGCAGACGAATCACAACGGTCCACCCACATTCTCAACGGCTTAGATTAAACAAGGGTCTTTTCAGTTGAGAGGAGGAAAAAAAGCTGTGGAGCATACCCATTTTTTCCCTATGCGTTTGGCTTTTTAATTGGATCTTCTGAAAAGAGAATCAAGCCCACAAATTTTGTCTCCACTGTCGAATATACGCCCTTGTCAATGAGACGATGAGTCATTGCCTGACCGAAACCGATCTCCCCAGAAGCTTTGATCTTCTCTGTTTGTTATTTTTTAAGTTCCTAGTTGGTATTGTGCTCTGTGGTGCAGATTGCAGAAACAGGAAGAGATCATTAGTTAATTACATAAAATGTCCAGGTGAACAGTCAGAAACATGTTTCCTACGCGTATCTTAACTCTTAAGCACCAACAGTTGTTTTGTTTTGTCCATTTTTCTCATTTCTTTCTAGTGTCTCATTTTAGGGTCCGTTTGGTTTGGTTCACAGTTGTAATCACAATCAGAAAATGAATGGTCTATTCTTTTCATTTTCATCTGTTTGATTTAAATGGAAATCGAATCTGGATTTCAAATTGGCTGGATCTGGATTCTTATCTCCAAGGAAGAGAGAGGGAATAGTCATTCCCTCAAATGGGAGAATGCCATTCCATCAACAATAAGAATGGAATTCTGATTATGTTCTCAAATGGTTGAACCATTTTAATTCCAATTTTAGACCCCTATTCTGGCAAATCAAACAGACCCTTGGATTATGAAAACAGAGTTCCGACTTCCAAGGCAAATTTTCACAGATTTCTCAAAATTTCAGAAGATGATAGTGGTGATGATGGTGGTGGTGAAGACCGGAGAACTGAAAATGGATTTTAGTAATTGAGAAAACAGAATATTGGGCCTAGTGGGTGGTTATTTTAACTGACATTTACATCTTTACAGCCCATATGCAGAGTTAATGGTTCGGTGCCTCAGTGGACACAGTACATCTAGTCAGTCATGTAGATAATTCAGAGCCCTTGGCAGGGTTCATGGGAATGTGATACTGTGCACAGTTAATGCCAATAGAATGTTGAATCGTTCTCCTCTGGACCAATGAATTAGCGGTTCAATCATCTGGGTTAAAGGATCAATAAAATGTTATTAATACAAAACTTTTCAAAAATATAAAATAATTAAAAAAAAAAAACTAATAACCACTTGATCAGTTGGATCAACAGTTCCACCGGGATTGGCAGGTTGGTGATTGACTCAACATAGCGGGTTACATATTGAGTGAGCCAATATGGGTTTTTGATCAAATCATCGCTCCGACCACAGAAGACACAATTTGTCACTAAATAGTAGGGGTGGCCACGAACCGAATTCTTTACGAGAATTATATATATATTATCATAATTATTATTATTATATAGAAAATAACATATATAATAAAAATATTATATATATTATTTTATTTTTATATAATAACAATTAATTATTATAATTCTTAATTTTTTAAATATCAAATAATATATTTGTATATATAAAACATTTTTCTAAGTTAAACTTGAGCCGAGCCGAGTTCAAGCTCAAGGTTCTAGGTCAAACCGAATTCGAGCTCGAATCCACCCCAGTAAATAGGGATCATTAGTTTTGAATTGGGATCTGCTCCTTACACAGTGCATCTCACACCGATCATACAGGCACATCCCTGTGTCCTCGTGTACTGAGAATATTTCCCATGAATAATAACGATTAATTATGGGAGATGTTCCCAATACATGGTGGGGTGTGCCTGTGAGGTCAGAGTGAGGTGCATTCTATGAGAAGCTGATCCAGTCTCGTTAGTTTCATTTCTAATGATAAAAAAAATATTCCCCAATTTGGCCTTAGCTGAATGTAAGGATCTACATGGAAGACTGTGTGTAGCATCACTCCGGATCTCCTGCCCACAAGAATCCTACCCACGTCTACTCACATGACACTACATTATACATTGGGAATGGCAATAGGGTGGGGATCATATTCCCCAATCCAGCCCCCAATTCTAAATTAACCCCACCCCCACCCTAAATCCCCATCAGGAATAAAATTTGTCCTCCATCCCCAATCTCCGACGGGATGGATTCCCCGCAAGGACCCAAATCCCCAAAATTCTTTTATAAATAGTATTTTATTGAAAAATAAATTTACTTAAAATAAATAAGAATTTTAAATTATAACTAATGTTATATATATATATATATATAATATTTAAGTATATATATAAATATATAATCAGAGTCAAGGCGGGGCAGGGCCGGGACCTCAATCTTCATCCCCGACTTCGATTGAGAATTTCTATTAATCATATCCCCTTTCCCGCCCCACCAAAACAATCCCCATCTTCGACTCCATCGTGTCGGGGAAAACAAATCCCATAAGAGATGAGGAAAATTACCATCACTAGATAAGATTTTTGTGAGCAACAAATCCGAGCTTGTGTAGCACGGGGATCTAGTAAATTAAGGTAAACCAGCATGGATGATTATGGCGTATATAATATATTTTAGGCAAAAATCAAAACCTATAATTCATCAATTGCACCGTGCAAGGAGAATGTGAACCCATAATAAAATAATGACATTTTACACCCATTACACGTTGATAAAGTTTTGATAGTATGTAAACATAAACGAATGAAAAGTAATTAAGTAGACTATCTATTGTAATCTTAATCTAACAAACTTCAAATATTAAAAAATACATCATAATTGGACTCTATATTTTATTGTTAACTATCATTGAATCCATTGACTAATAAAAGCCACCCATTGGAAGTTGTAAGGGGGTTCGCACTTTAGCTTTTGGTGTGTGGGTATGGGAACTGTTCGTGATGATAGGAGAATATGATGAGAAGAGTTGAACATTATAGAAGGTTGAGAGACTAAGAGGTAGGGGTGTCAATTGGACTGGATTTGGTTCAATCCCATCCAGTCAAATGTGAGTCCATTACAAATAGACTAGGTCCAATCCAATTCAATGAATATTTTAGGCTATTTTGGATCGGTCGAATTTAATGTTTGAATCGTCTAATCTATACAAATTTGTTTTAATTTAGATTGATTTCAACCTAAATTCGGTTCATTGACACCTATACTCTTATCTATCAATGGACTAGATATTGGCTTAATCCAACCCAATCACATATAAATTTATTACAAACGGATCATGTCCAATCCAATCTAATAAATATTTTGGATCGGATTGGTCCAATCCAATATGTCTTATTGGTCCATCCGCTTCATCCAAGTTGATTTTGGACTAAACGGGGTCCAACCTAAAACCGTTCTGACAATAAAAATTACAGGAAAAAAATTGAGTGTGGGAGGTCCATTAAGCATTATTATACATGTTATGTCATTCGAGTGTGTGACTCATACGACCCAAAAACGGAACCGTTCTGGTCATCAATTTTTTGGTCGATGATTCGACCGTCCAGTTCAAACGAACGGATGGCCCCATTTTGACAACAAAACTTAAAAAAAGAATAAATAAATAACGGCCAAAAACCATTGAACGGGTCGACGGTTCGACCTCTCGAGTGGGTCATTGACCAATTCAATGGTTTTTGGCTAGGGACCAAGATTGGGGTAAAACAGAGCATGTTGCCTGGACGGTTCCCAATTAAAAAAATAAAAAAACGATTTTTCGACAGACGACCCATTCTAACAACAAAAATTATAGGCAAAATATTAAGTGTGTAAGCTCCATTAAGCAGTATCATACGTGTTATGACATTTGAGCATGCGACTCATATAACCCGAAAAGGAACCGTTCTGGCCATTGGTTTTTGGGTCGACGGTTCGATCACGTGGTTCAATGGGTCATTCACCAATTCAACGGTTTTTTGCCAGGGACCAGGATTGGGATAAAACAAAATCAGTTTCCTAGATGGTTCCCAATTAAAAAAAATGGTTAAAAACCATTGAACGGGTCGACAGTTGAACCACCCGGGTCAATGGGCCGTTGATCGATTCAACAGTTTTTGGCCAGGGACTAGGACTGGGGTAAAATGGAATCAGTTGCCTAGACGGTTCCCAGGCCGAAATGTCCATCTATCCGAGTCAACGATGGTTTGAAAACCATGGTTTTTTGTGCTTTTGGATTTTCATTATTCAAAGGTTTCTTCTACTATTGGCTTTATTTGAACATATGCGGTATGTTCCTTTTTTTCAATTTTTGTTTTGTTTTTTTTTTTTGTGTTCGGTCTTCTTCTTCTTCAAGATCCTCC